CTAAAAACAAACGCCCATTCTCATTTTTGGGTACGTTCCCATTTTTCCCGCAAGTCTGTTCAATGCTGACCCCCACACCTCCNTTCGTGATGCTGGCTACCTCGGCGATGCCGAGGACATACAGCTTGAGCAACAGCTCATTCGAAAGCTGCTGTAAAGATCTACAGCACTGTCAACTTTTATGGGGGGAGTTGCAAAGGCGTGGTTTGCTTGCTAAAAACAAACGCCCATTCTCATTTTTGGGTACGTTCCCATTTTTCCCGCAAGTCTGTTCAATGCTGACCCCCACACCTCCCACCACACCCCGGAAGTGGCCGACTTCCACCTGTCCGCCCTTCGAGCGTTGCCTTTCGCTGCGTGTGCTGCTGTTGACCGTGAGCCTGATGCCCCCCGCCGCAGCGGCCGGACCCGTACCCCTTCGGTACGAGTACGACAGATCGGCGACGCGCAGCTGCCCTTGACAAGTGTACTGGAGGCCCTCCCGGACGGAGAGGTCATCGGCCCCTCCGCGGTGGAACCCTCCGCTCCGGCGCCGTCGCCATTGACACTACCGCCGTCTCCCGTTCGACCTGGCCACGACGACATCGGTGAGGTGCTGGCTGCACGGGGGGAGGTTCCGACGTCGTCGTCGAGCCACGCGTCGGATGGAGCATCGGCCATCGATCTGACAGCACGAGTAATCACAAGGTCGTCCGAGCTAGCGCATCGGCAACGAGACGACACCCATCTGAGTCAGGTTCGCAAGGTTCTGAGCGCGACAGGTATAGCCTAGGCGCGGATGAGGTGATTCGGTACAACGGTGGGAAGGAAACAAAATTGCCTGCTATTCCAGTCGCCATGGTAGCTGACATCATTGCGTTGGTACACACGCTACATGGTCATGCAGGAGTAGGAGCAACGCTGTCCCTTCTGCGCGATCATTTCCACTGGCCCACGATGACGAACGACACTCGACACTATGTGTTGTCACGCGCCTGTTGTAGGCGCGAGAGACAGCCCAGCAGACGAGTAGCCATGATGGCAGGTAGACCGCTTGAGCCGTGGGACGAGTTGCATATGGACATCCTCAAGATCGACACACCATCGCAAATTGGCAACAACCACATCTTGCTCGTGGACCGCGCCTCAAAGTTTCCCTTCGGGTTCCCGCTCGAAACCAATCAAGCTGTAGGCGTAGCCCGAGTGGTGGTAGAGCTGTGTCTAACTTACGGAGTTGCAAAGACGGTGCGCTGTGACGAAGGCCCAGAGTTTGGTGCCGAACTGGTGAAGCACTTGTGCAGATGGTTGCGGGCAAACATCGTGTTTGGTGCTGCTGATCACCCTCGAGGCCAAGGATCGGTAGAAAGACTGGGGGGATGGCTACAGGAGTTGTTGGCTGAGCTGTGTAGGCCCTGGCCTGACCGATGGGATGAGTATGTTTCGCCTGCGATGTGGATCAAACGCACCTTGCCAGACACCTCGCTCCCATATGACACCCTTCGAGTTCCTGTTCGGCCGAAGCCTCGCACGGACGAGATGGATCAGGAACGAGGAGTCGACAACCTTGTGGAGAGGCTCAAGCAAAATCTCCGTGAAGTAGGACTCGCCCTCGAGAAACGGCAGGAGCTTCGAGTTCGCCCAGTATGTGTGAGGACTCGATTTCAAATTGCCTCCAGGCGCTCACGAGAGTTTGGGTCTAGTCACTATCGCCGACTGTCGTAGAGTTCAACCAGCTTCTGGCATGCGAACTGTTTGGGAGTACAAGGGGAATTCAGGGAACGGTGTAGTGTGGGACTGGCTGTCGGAAGAGACCATGCGACGCAGTTTCACACCCCTTCAGTTGGATTGCTTCGTTGCGCTCTGGCACTTGTATTTTTCCCAGCTGGCAAACGCTTCTGCACCCGACTCAGTCAAGCTCCGTACCCCGTTGTCCCGCGCCCAAGCCTTGCACGTTTTCCCGATAGGTTTTACCTTCCAGAAGGAGTTGCCGGAGGAATCCTACTTCAGGGTCAGGTGTATGACTACCTTTCCCACTACTGGCGCGTGCGCTATACTGACGGGAACTGGGAGGGGTTGTCCAGACGCGAACTGGAAAGACCTTCGAGATAGCCTTGGGGGGAGGGATTTCGAGCTAGTGTGATTGCTGGACGATGGGGATGCGTGGGGTTAGTGAGACCGTCTGCGGGTGATCATGGATGTCCGTACAAGATTCGGTCGTATGTATGTACCATGGATAGTTTTTGACTATTGTTGATAAGAGTCTCTTTTGTTCCGGTTTTTAGACGATGTATGTCCACTTGATTTTTGATTATTCGTGATAAGAGTATTTTGTTTCGGTTTTTCTGCATGTCAATTTGATTTTTGAGTGCGCCACCCAATTGAGGTTCGGTAAAGCTTAACTGCTCGGAGACCGTACTAGCCAGATGTCCCGAGTCGAAGGGTGGGTCCTGCGTCCGGTAGCACCCACGAGGGTTTGGTTGTTGTGCTAGTCTGGTTTGCAGTCGAATGGTGGTCCTGTGCCCGGTAGCGCCCAAGAAGGTTTGTGGTGTTGTGCCGTGGCATTTGATTGGGTTTGGTGTTGTCGGTGCTTGCGCAATGTTTTTTTTCCTGGGTGGCCAGATTTTTCCCGCGCTGTAGGTGTTGAGCCGGACT